AGCTGCCTCTACCTAGAGAAATAGTAAATCAAAAATAATATTGCATCCCTGGAGGGATTGTGGAGATTGGTGCTACCATCAAGGACTCAAAAGACACAGGGGTGGTGATTCCCGCCACATCCCTGTTCAACTCTCCCATTTGTCCTGTGCAGAAGACAAATGGATCTTGGAGAACGACAGTGAATTATTGTAAGCTTAACCAAGTGTTGACTCCAATTGCAGCTGCTGTACCAGATGTGGTTTCACTGCTTGAGCCAATTGAGCCAATGCATCTCCTGGTACCGGTATGCAGCCACTGACTTGGCGAACGCCTTTTTCTCCATTCCTGTCCATAAGGCCCACCAGAAGCAATTTACCTTCAGCTAGCAAGGCCAGCAATATACCATTACTGTCCTGCCTCAGAGTATATCAACTCTCCGACTTTGTGTCATAATCTTATTCAGAGAGACCTTGATCGCTTTTCGCTTCCGCAAGATATCACACTGCTCCATTATACTGATGACATTATGCTGATTGGATCCAGTGAGCAAGAAGTAGCAAATACACTGGACTTATTGGTGACACATTTGCATGCCAGAGGATGGGAAATAAATATGACTAAAATTCAGAAAACTTCCACCTTAGCAGAATTTATAGGGGTCCAGTGGTGTGGGGCCTTTCAAGATATTCCTTCTAAAGTGAAAGATAAGTTGTTACATTTGACCCCTCCTCCAACCAAGAAAGAGGCACAATGCCTAGTGGGCCTATTTGGATTTTGGAGGTAACACATTCATTTGGGTGTGTTACTCTGGCCCATTTATTGAGTGACCTGAAAGGTGGCCAGTTTTGAGTGGGGTCCAGAACAGGAGAAGGCTCTGCAATAGGTCCAGGCTGCTGTGCCACTTGGGCCATATGACCCAGCAGATCTAATGGTGCTTGGGGTGTCAGTGGCAGACAGACGTGCTGTTTGGAGCCTTTGGCAGACCCCCCTCGCTGAATCACAGCAGAGGCCTCTAGAATTTTGGTGCAAGACCCTGCCATCTTCTGCAGATAACTACTCTCCTTTTGAGAGACAGCTCTTGGCCTGTTACTGGGATTTGGTGGAAACTGAATGTTTGACTATGGGTCATCAAGTCACCATGCGACCTGAACTGCCTCTCATGAACTGGGTGCTTTCTGACCCATCTAGCCATAAAGTGGGTCATGCACAGCAGCATTCCATCATCAAATAAATAGAAGTGGTATATACGTGATCAGGCTCAAGTAAGTCCTGAAGGCACAGGTAAGTTACATGAGGAAGTGGCTCAAATGCCCATGGTCTCCACTCCTGCCACCTTGCCTTCTCTCCCCAAGCCTGCACTGATGGCCTCATGGGGAATTCCCCATGACCAATTGACAGAGGAAGAGAAGACTAGAGCCTGGTTCACAGATGGTTCTGCACGATATGCAGGCACCACCCGAAAGTGCACAGCTGCAGCACTACAAGCCTTTTCTAGGACATCCCTGAAGGACAGCGGTAAAGAGAAATCTTCCCAGTGGGCAGAACTACACCTGGTTGCATACTTTTCATGGAAGGAGAAATGGCCAGACGTATAACTATATACTGATTAATGGGCTGTAGCCAATGGTTTGGCTGGATGGTCAGGGGTTTGGAGGAAGCATGACTGGAAAATTGGTGACAAAGAAATTTGGGGAAGAGGTATGTGGACAGACCTCTCTGAGTGGCCAAAAACTGTGAAGATATTTGTATCCCATGTGGGTGCTCACCAATGGGTGACCTCAGTAGAGGAAGATTTTAATAATCAAGTGGATAGGATGACCCATTCTGTGGCTACCACTCAGCCTCTTTCCCCAGCCACCCCTGCCATTGCCCAATGGGCCCATGAACAAAGTGGCCATGGTGGCAGGGATGGAGGTTACACATGGGCTCAGCAACGTGGACTTCCACTCACCAAGGCTGACCTGGCTATGGCCATGGCTGAGTGCCCAACTGGCCAACAGCACAGATCAATACTGAGCCGTTGATATGGCACCATTCCTTGGGGTGATCAGCCAGCTACCTGGTGGCAGGTTGATTATATTGGACTTCTTCTGTCATGAAAAGGGCAGAGGTTTGTCCTCACTGGAATAGATACTTACTCCAGATATGGGTTTGCCTATCCTGCATGCAATGCTTCTGGCAAAACTACCATCTGTGGGCTCACAGAATACCTTATCCACCATCATGGTTTTCCACACAGCATTGCCTCTGACCAACGTACTCACTTTATGGCCAAAGCAGTGCAGCAGTGGGCTCATGTGCATGGAATTCACTGGTCTTATCATGTTCCCCATTATCCTGAAGCAGTTGGATTGACAGAATGGTGGGATGGCCTTTTGAAGTCACAATTGTAATGCCAACTAGGTGACAGTACTTTGCAGGGCTGGGGCAAAGTTCTCTGGAAGGCTGTGTATGCTCTGAATCAGCATCCAATATATGGCACTGTTTCCCCCATAGCCAGGATTCACAGGTTCAGGCATTAAGGGGTGGAAGTGGAAGTGACACCACTCACCATCACCCCTAGTGATCTGCTAGCCAAATTTTTGCCTCCCGTTCCTGCGACATTACGTCCTGCTGGCCCAGAGGTCTTAGTTCCAGAGGGAGCAACACTGCCACTGCGAGATACAACAATGCTTCCATTAAACTGGCAGTTAAAATTGCTACCTGGACACTTTGGGCTCCTCCTACCTTTAAGTCAACGGTCTAAGAAGGGAGTTCCAGGTGCCCGCCACCACGTCCAGCTTATTTTTTAAAAAACATATTTTCAGTAGAGATGAGGTTTCACTATGTCGGCCAGGCTGATCTCAAACTCCTGACCTCAGGTGATCCACCTGCTTGGCCCTCCCACAGTGCTGGGATTATAGGCATGAACCATCGTGCCCCGCCTGTCCTAGCTATTGTTTTAAAATTTACCAAGACTTTTTTTGTTATTTTCTCACAAAAATTCCATATGGCAATAGAAATTTCCTTCACGTTATTTTTTTTCCCAAATGGCTTGATGCATCCCATTGATTTGCGTTTATGTCTGCTGGCTCCATCTAATAATCAGAGCTGGACCCAGACTTTACCTGCTCTAGGAAGCATTCCTTGATTTAAGACTCACAAACACACATATAGCACATCCACCCCTGATGCCTTCTCTAACCAATTATTTACTGAAAACCTCCAATTAGATGCTTCGTAGGTCCTCAAACTCAACATGTCCAAACCTGAACACAAAACCTACACTCCAACCACTCATATTTCATTTCTTTACCCAAGTTTATCTAGGTCAGTGAATGGACACCTTAGTTACCCAGTTATATAAACCAGAAGCTTGGAGGTTATTCTTGAAGATTCCTTTCCCTCACCCTGATAGGCTACCATTCACAAAGTCTGGGGGATTATATCTCCTAAATTTCTCCTGCATTGAGATACTTCTTTTTAACCCCACTGCTTCCATCATAGTCTAACTTACCAACTTCTCATACCTGAACATTCGAATTATTTGACTCAAGTCTACTTGCACCTAAATCCCAGGTATATCTGACATCCATCTGATCGTATCAATTCATTAAACGGTTTCACACTGCTCTCAGGATAACAAATAAAATTTATCAACATCTTATTAAAATAATTCGACTCTAAACATCACTTTTTTTTCTAAGACTACCCTTTTTCACTTTCTTTGACACAACTGAACTAGATCTCATCTTAGAGCTTTATTCTGTTTCACATGTATGGAAGATTTACACTAACATCCCCACTCTTCCCCAATCCTGACATCCCTACACGTTGCCATGTAACATTTCAATGCTCTCCCACTGTTGGTTAACATGTAATTCCCTGACCCTGAGTTCAACTGAGTGACTTGCTTTGGTCAATAAAATTAGATCAGATTCAGAGCCCAGGCTCCAAGAGGCCTTACATGTTTCTACTTGTCCCCTTGAACCTCTTCCTTCACTGTATAAAGAATATGCTCTATTGATCCCATGAACCCACGGGAGCCCTTTGATCCCATGAGCAGGTTAAGGAACATTTGGAGCGGAACTGCTCAGCTAAACCCAGCCTAGAGAAACTCACCCCCAGGGAACACAGAGATTTATAAGAAACAATAACTGTCTGTTACTTTAAGTGGTTTTTTATCTAGTAATAGCTAACTGATACACAAACATAACAATTTGCATTTTCCTACTGCTTGGTAAGTATCTTCTACCTTTGTTGATACATTTAGGCCAAGGAGGATTAAAATCAACAAAGAACGTTTACATGGATGTTATCCTTACTGCTACGAACATCAAACTATTGCTTGAAGATTGAGGCCCGGTAATAAAACAGCAGCTATTTCTCCAAAAAAATCCTCTGTGACTTTTCAAATGAAATGAGGGCTTTCCTGACAATCCCGCAAGTCAGGAAGATAAAATTGGGCATGGATCTTTCCCTGGCTGCTACAGAAACTCTTCATCCCTGTCAGGGATGGCAGATCCATTGCTATACCAAGGGGCCACGCTGAAAGTTCAGAGCTGGTTTCGGAAATGACACAGTCTACTTCATTCTGGAGAAGGGCACAGTCTGTCATAACAGGTTATTTTAAAGGTCACCCTAGATTTAATCAAGACATCTTGTTCCTTTAATTTTTTGTCCTCTAAATTTTTCTGTGAAAAGCTGTTGAGTATCTCTGGCCTTTCTATTTTCTCTACCAGACAAAACCTATTACTAAGTGGATGTTAATTAAGCCACAGGGCCAAGACATTGACAATTCAAAATGAAAACTATGACTGCATATGGCATTGTATCCTGTCCCCAAATGCTGTGCTCTTAAAGGGAGACTCTTGAAATGAAAACTCTTGCACCTATAAATGTGAAGAGTGACTTGAGTGCTGTAAAACAAAGTGTATTGGTTAATATACCATCAGCTTTGTTATGTCAGGACAGAAATAAAAATCTAATAGTAAATAGTCAACAGATGTCATAGCACCGGAGAAAATAAATGCATACTCACCTGGTTGGGTGCAATTCTTCTCCCTGAAATAAATTTTAAGAATACATGTTTTAGTCTTACTCAAACCCATCCCGAACTCCAAAGCAAACATGTTGAAAGGAGAAACAATGAGGCCTCCTAGTTAAAACATGTTTTACATTTTGGTGGGATTGCAAATCTGAATAACTGGCTCTTTCTCCCCTTTTAAATCAGTGACACCGCATTGTCTTTAAATAGTGTGCATTTGCAAGAGGGCCCCCATTGCTCTCGGGTACCTGACAGACCATCGGTAAGCCTGGCCTTGGTGCATCCTTTCTTAAAGTGCCTCCAAGGACCGAAGGAAGTGAGCGAGATCATTTTCTTTCTTCCCCAAATTGCTGCCCTCCTTTCACTTAAGAGCCAATGCTTCCTGAAGAGAATATGTCCCCTCAGTGTGACTTCCTGTGCTGTCTCCTTTTTAGGATCTACTGACCCCTGGGGGAACGAAGCAACTCTGAGATCTATTTTGCTTTGTAGTTCACCAGCTGAGAGACGGAAGGCTGAGAGCTGTGTTACCTGAGGACTAGGGCATTGTGGGCTGGACAGGAAGGGGCCTTCTTGCCGCAGAAGAGAGGCCTGGTGAAGGGACTCTTCACTGACAGGCTGAAGCTCAGGAGGGAGACACTTGTCAGTGGGCCTGGTTTGGGGCTCCCGTGAGTCAGCTGCATTCAGGGCCCTTTCAGGTTCAGAGGTCAATCTCGAGTGGAGTCTCAAGGGTGACAGCAAGTACGAAGAATCCTTTGGGCTTCCCGGCAGGCTCTTGGAAAGGTAACGTGGGGAGCCCGCAGGCTCTCTCCAGCTTCCCCAGGTGGGCACCTGCAAGGCATCCTGCTGAGACAGTGAGTGCCAAGTCCCACAGACACGGGTCCTTAATCTCCTCAGAGTGGGCGAGGTGGAGATGTGGCCTGGGGCTTGCCGGTCAAAATGGAGGAGGCTCCCCTGGTTCTCACAGTGCTGCTTTGGCAGGCTCGTCAGCCGGGGCCGAGGAGAGGCTCCGCAGTCTTGGGGTGGCACCTCTAGACAGAATGACTCTGTTTTCTCCATAAAGTTAAGAGGTTCTACCATGGGTAGAACGTTCCAGAAGACGTCTGAGTTACTGTTCTCTGGATCACATGGAGGGTGCTCAATTTCTGCATCCAAGTGCCACACTTCCTCTAGTAGTTCTTTTCCTTTTCCAGAGGAGAATGTCAAGCAGGGTGCTGCATCTTTAGTGAGGAAGAGCAGACTGTGGAATCTGTAGCAAATGAGGGAGACTGCAGTGAGAAAAAAAGGTCTAAAATTTCAAAGGAAAACTTTTAATTCTTCATAGGAGATAGAGCTCAGTTCGCATCAGCATCCCTTACATTCAGAAGATAATTAATATATAAGACTCCAGCATTCTCATCTAAACAGCGTATTGAAATCTATTTACTGTCTACTTAATATTCCTTCTAGGTTCAAACAAAAAAGCCTTTAAAAACTTTGGTCACTAAAGATACTTCCCGGAAACCACATAGCTCCTCTCCTTGTGATTATTCCATTTTAAGAGAATCAAATATACATTAAATCCTCGTATCATCTACATTTATGTGTGAAAGTACAAACTTTGGTGCATTCCGGGGATGCAAGAACAAGGAAAACAAGGTTCCTTCCCTCAAGGTTTAAATTACAGAATGAGACAGGCTTTGAAGGTAACTGATGTAAATTATCTGGCAATGTCTTTTATCTTAGATTCTATCAATCTTTATAGTTTGGAAAAATGACTTGCAAGTTTGAAAAGAAAAACCCAGATGTCACCAGGTACCCTACTGTTCATGACTGGAGGTGTTTTTTGCGATCCATGCATGCAGAATTATCTCTTCTTATGCTCAAGAAAAGCTGACCCTTCTATTTCACAACTTGATTCATGGGAGTGGCTTACTGCAGTTTCGTTATTCTGTACTTTCCCAGATGAAGAAGGCATGTGTGGGAGAACATCAATCCTTACACATCCCTTATGGCATGAGAGTTGATGTTTGATGATTTACAGACCAGGCGTGGGACTGTGGGACGGGCGAGAGACCCACCTTCCCTGGCCCCAGATGGCGTGGAAGGAGGCTTCAGACTGTGCGTGGATTGTTTGTGGATGGAATATTAGTAGTTGACCATATATTCTAAGATCATCAATAATAGTTTTAGTAAGTTTATCATTCTAAAGCAGAACTCAGCAATCCGAAACCCTTTGGCCACATTTGGATTGCCAAAATGTAAGAACGGCTAATAATTTACTTCTTATAACTTTAATTGCAAGGACAATACTTTTTAGTAGAACTTTTCTAGAGTGTATTATTTGCTTCTTTGACTTGATATAGAGAAGGCTGAAAACCAATAAACCTTTTCCTCATTACCTGGCCTCATTCTGTTGACCATCTGAATATTCACTCCCACACCAAATGACCCCACACTGATGTACTCCCTAATTTTTATTCCTTACTTCTCACTATGCTTTGTGTACTTGCCTATGGCAACCACTTTCTCCTCTTTGTTTCTTTTAATCTGTGTTAGGCATAGAAGTTCAACAACCTTGTGAATAGATAATTAATAGGCTGTTAGATCTATTCCTATCAGTAGAGGAGGAGCTCAGTGTTTTAACATTGTCATGGCAATGTTGTGACTTGACATTGATTTGGGGGATTTTGTGATCTCTTATTTTGCTCCCTGACTCTTATCTTGTTTAAGTTCAGATAAGTCCAGGCACAGAGGCTCATGCCCGTAATCCAAACACTTTGGGAGGTGAAGGTGGGAGGATCACTTGACCCTAGAAGTTCAAGACCAGCCTGGGCAACATAGTGAGACCCCATCTCTATAAAAAGTTTTTTTAAAGGCCAAATGAAACCCACAGGTACTAGATTTTAGACTGGTGAGTTGTTTGAGGAACTACTTAGATGCAAACTAAAGTCAATTCAACTCTTATTCACAAAAGAAATCTAAAATTCTTAATGTTGGGTTTGCTTTATTTTGAGCTGAGGGCTCAAAATGCATGAGGCACCCTTTTTTGCAGAGTGGAGGAAAGAAGGCAATGCCAGTTTAGGAAACTTACATTCAGTTAAGGTGAGATTGTATTAGTTTTGGTTGTAGATTGGTAATTCCTGGATGCTGCTCTGAAGGTTGATACTAACATTGCTGAAGAGGCATGAAATGGTCCCTCCTGACCATTGATAAAACAAGGTACATTATTGCTACATGGAGAGGCCAGTTCCTCATCAAATCTATAGGTACTTTGTTTCTTTTTTGTTTTCTTTTTAGAGATGGAGACTGGCTGTGTCACTCAGGCTGAGTGCAGTGGCGTGATCACAGTGTACTGTAACCTCAAACTCCTAGCCTCACAGAATCCTCACGCTGCAGTGCTCCGGAGTAGCTGGGACTATAGAAGCTTACCACCATACCCAGCTAATTTAGAATCAATAGGTACTTTCACACATACATACAATCAGGGCCGTTCTGTTATTTTTCTCCTTTAGAAGACTGTCCAAGTTCTAGGCAACAACAATGTTAAAGGAATTCAGTATATTTGCATAGGCACTTACATAATAGTTAGATCAGATTTCTTAGTCTTTGGGTTTCCCCTCTGTCCTTTGGGCCTTTTCCTCTCCTCTTTTGAGGAGTTAGGATACAGCTTTGGGTTTCCTTTGTAGTCGTTCGGACACAGGGGTGTAGCTGCTGGTAGAAAGCTATTTATGGCCAATAGGATTCACATCGGTAAGTATTATTTATTAGCCACTGTCTTAAATATTGGAACCAAGGCAACTGCTGACATGATGCACTGCAGAAATGCTGAAACTTTAAAAACAGCAGGGTTTTGGGAGGTGGTTTGCAGAGAGGCAGGAAGAGCTCAAGCACCAGAGTAAATGGATCTGGTTTCTCTTCCAGTATCACCGCCAACTGGCTGTGTGACCTAGGACAAGCCACTTCTCCTCTGCCAGCCTCTGTGCAGCATTTACCAAGAGGTCATCAAAGAACCTCCCTCACAGGCCTGTTGTAGAAATTAAATGAGATAATGGCCAAGGCTCCTGGGAAGCTTTCCCTCAATGACTACACCCAGTGGGTCTGGTAGAATCAAAAGTTAACAGTCAATCCATTCATGCTAACTCTTCTCCTTTATGTTTAAAAGAGGTAATTAATACATGGTCATCATAAAGAAAATTCACCAGCCTTGGACCTTCCAAGCTTGGAGAATCCAGCAAACAGCCACCCACACTGTTGGGGAAGCCATCTCACGGTACTAGAAGTGAAACCATTGTGGGTTAATGATTCACTAATTCTAATGAGACCTGGGGAGATCAGCAAAACAAGCCAACCTGATAGCAACAGGACAAAAGGAAAGTGCAAGAGAGAAACCCAGAAAGCAGCTGAATGTTGCCTTTAATACCTGTGAGACGGTCTGTCCCAACTGCACCCAAGTGGGTCCTGAGGATCCTCAGAGCCTGAAGAACCAGAGTGAGCTGCCGGAGGAGGGCTCAGAGCAACCAGTTCCACACCTGTAACAATGCGCCCTCCCAGCTGAGTGAAAGCAAGCTTGCTACCAGCTGCAATGAGGAACTGCTCTCTCCCCTCCTTAGAGACATTTCCAGTTATTTGTTTATGAAAAAGCCTAAAGGGAAGCTGGTACAGAATCTAAGGCAGCCTAAGAACAAGTCAGGTAAACAATGGCTGATCAAATACAGAAATGATGCAAATGTAGCTTTTTACTTCCTCTTGGGGCGGTCAATAAATCATCACTCATAGTTTAGTGAAGCAGTTCTGGGTTTCTATTTCATTTATTTTCTCTAAGGTTGTGAGACGCATTCTTTGGGACTCTACTTTCTTCATATCATCAAACATTTTGTGTTGATCTATTTTATTAATGACATGCTTTGATAAGCATTGAATAATAGAGGAAATGATTAGAGCACCAGGGAGCGAATTTGAGAACATTAGTTTTCAAATAATTAAAATGCAAATGGAAGAGCATTTATATCTACCAGTATTCTCATTAGATCAGTACCCCAAAGAATATTTATTTGATGCCTAGATGGAGATAATGCGTATGTATGCAGCATGAAACAAAAATGTCTATAGACTTTATCAAAACAAAGTCGAAGTAATTCTATTGAAGTCTAATTCACTGAAGTTTCATTGCTTGGACTCATTACAGACACTCTCCAACCCCTGGAACTAAAATTTTTTCTTTTTCTTTTTTTGAGACAGGGTCTCACTCTGTCACTCAGGCTAGAGTGCAGTGGCACGATCTTGGCTCACTGCAACCTCCACTTCCCAGGTTCAAGCGATTCTCCCACCTCAGCTTCCTGAGTAGCTGGGATTACAGGTGCACGCCACGAGGGCCCAGCTGACTTTTGTATTTTTAGTAGAGACGAAGTTTCACCATATTGGCCAGGCTGTTCAAACTCCTGACCTCACGTGATCCACCCACCTCGGCCTCCCAAAGTGCTGGGATTACAGGTGTGAACCACTGTGCCCAGCCAGAAGTCTGTGTTTAACAAGACTTCCAGGTGATTATTACATGGGTTAAAATTTGAGAACCACTGCTGTTAGGGGAAAAAACAAGGTCTAACTTATAGATGTTGGCCTTGTGATAACCTTTATATTAGTCTTTAATTCTCTCATATTGATCTTACTAGAACATCATTGACTTAGAACTTTGAAAAATGACTTGATCTCCTGCCCTCACCACTATTGCCAACATTACCATAACTCAACCAAAAGTAGGATATCAATAAATATCTATTTTGCCAGCGTGGAGCCTGCATAAATAGTTCTGAGCTCCTGCCAAAGACGTCTAGAAATGAATTGCTTCAATGTGGGAAGGAAAAAAATGAATAAAGTCTTTTAGCTTTTAGTTTGTGGAAGGAAGGTCAGACTTTTATCTACCAATCCCCTCACGCACATGGGATTGTGAAGCTGTCTCTCCTAGGGGATAATGATAATGGAATACTTGATCCCATTGCAAAAACTTCCAACCTCTGCTTGTAACTTCAAGAAGGAAATTAAGAATCTTATAGAGAGGCCATAAAGGATTATCAGGGAAAAAAATGTGCCACCTCCATCTGATTTGTCAAGGAGATGGCAATAGGGAGGCATTTTGGATGGGGAAGGGATGCCCTAGAGTCAGCTTTTCCTTCAAGACCCTGGGGCAACCTCACTGTGGCCCTTTCTCAGATGACACATGGAGGTGTTCTCCAATAGTGCAGAGGGAACAGCTTGCCTCAGTGTTTTTTTTACCTATGTGTAGTTTTATGTTTATGTATGCTTTGCTTCAATAAAAAGTATACCTTAAAAAGTGTCTCTGCTAAAAGATGACAACCTGGTTTGCTTACTTTCTGGCTTTGAGTTGGCAAATTCTTAAAAGATATT